AGGATATTTTTATTTTTTGCAATTTAACTGGGTGTACGGGTTGTGTGTATAGGAATATTTTTATTTTCCGAACACAGCACATTGTGGCCGTGATCGCAGTTAATCGTATTAAGTGTTGGCTTTTTCTTTTTTTATTATTTTCCCTTCATAATAGCAACATTAAATTACCAAATAATGGAAAACTCTTTGTATCACAACACATCTACAAAACTTCATAGACAAATTTAAACCAGCACTAAACAAATCAGAGCCCCACACACATAAACGCACACCATACACACATAATGGCCAAACACACTAGTCGAACTACACACACACACACACAAATATCTAAGAATATACACACACATACTGACAAAAATAAACACCGGACCACACGCACACATACATGAACCCTACACACCATACGAAGTGTATATATATGTATATATATACACACACACACACACACACACACACAAAAATTTCTCATAATAAAACACTATATATGTATGGAGAAGGAATATGTATACACATACTAGCAAAAACACACACAATACATAAATAGGAGATGGGTTTAAAAAGATACAGAGGTCATAAAAAGATAAGAACAAAGACCTTATTCCTTCCTCCCCCCCCATTTCTCTGACCATTTCTAATTGTTTTATTACCCCTTAAGCAGAAGAATATTTTCTCCACATGTTCAAGAAAATTTAGATTACTACTACACTCAAAAGACAAAAAAGATAAGATTTTTAAAAATCCACATTATAACCAAAAATGTTTCAAGGTGTGCTATATTTATGGGCTAAAGTGCTCAATAACAGAGATAGAGCGTGTGTAAATATAAAAGTGAACATTAAAGTCAACACTTAGAGGCGACAGGCTGTTTGATGTTAGCACGATGACATCACGACGACGATTCCCCCTACCCCCCACTCCCATAATAACCCCCAATACACGCAATCTACATAAACGCAAAATTTTAAAAAATTAATCAGTTTGTCTGACGATCGCAAAAGCGTGAAACCTAGGGTCACAAACTCACATCAATCCAACCAAATATATATATATATATATATATATATATATATATATATATATATATATGAGAAATATAGTTTTGAGGTTTGCTATATTTAAGGGATAAAATGCTCAATACCAGAGATATGATTGCGTTTAGCATGAAACAGTCTGAGTTTTGACTTCAACGTTCACTTTATATATATATATATGTATATATATATATGTGTGTGTGTGTGTGTGTTCTTGAGTTGATACGCAATGGTAGCTGAATTTTGGGATGAAATTTTAGTTGTGTATTGTTTAATCTTCAAATGTCTCAATGTATACGCCACGGGTCCTAGATGTGCCGTGATTAACTCCCAAGACATTCCAAACATTTGACACCGTCATACGGGGACTTACGCCCGACCGACTAATGTCCAATCGCTGACTTGTCCTTATCAACTGCGGATGGCGGGAATGTTATAGATTGCATTTCAATTAATTCAGTGCGAACGAGAAAAGAACCACGCTGTTATTGTCTGCTTACTAAACAGAATGAAGTGCACACAACATTATCTGGATGAGGGGTTTTCATTTTTACATTATTCACAGTCTTCATCTTTGTTATTATCTCAACATTTTGACTGTTCTCCAGCCTTCATCAGTCGTCTGTCGATCCTATTAACCTTCCAGGAATTTCGCACTGAACCTTTTATTTACTCTACGGGCGTAGATTTTTTTTCACATTAAGGCCCGTGAGCCACTCGTGGTAGAAGGTTCCGTTAAGAGGCAGTATATACGGATAGGAGAGAGAGAGATAAATGTTAACCCTAGACTTGAACAGGTTAAGATTGTAAAGATCAGGGAAATATCCTCTTAGGAGTTGGTTCCACAGAAAAGTGATTCGCGTAAAGAAGCTGTTCAGGTGAAACTGACTTCTCACCGATGGAATACGGAGGGAATTTGGACATAAATGCATAGCGGGTTCTTGAAGTAAAGTTTAGACCTGGCGGGACCAAGCAATGTAGTGTCGTCCGGGCACTTTTCATGGTAGTCACGATAGAGCATCGAGAGGCTCACCAAATCTCGCCTGTGAGGGAGAGGTTGGAGAGATGGAAAATAATTCATTTCCCAAAAGGACTCGGAGACGATTTTGAAATCTAACGAAATGAGGACTCGGCAGCTCCCGCCCGAATATGACCAGAGTTTTCGCGTTCCGTATCTAAGGATATAGAGTTTTGTTCCTTTTTTTTTATATAAGAACTGCTCAGTTATTACCCGTCCTATTTCCACTGAGTCTGAGCCTGTACTACCCGACCCAGGGATTGAACTCGCATTTCCTATGCTACCACTATGATAGTGACATTAGAATTTTGAGAGAAGGGGTTGGTTGAGAATTGGATGACATTTTTTACTTTCTTTTAAGAAAGTGAAAAGTCAGAAAATGTTTGAACCTGCCCCAAGTCGGACTTCCCAGTTTCAACACAAACTGGTTCTCTTAGTATAAACCTCTTGGGAACATGGATTACTGTAAATGACCTCCTTCGGTTCGATGCAGCATTTCGGCTTTAAACAACTCGCAAAGGGTTGATAAGCCGTAAAAATAAATCTATCGAACAATCTTTTTCTACAAGTAAGGGTTATATTCTGGATTGATCTAAAGTTTTGTCTAAACAGTATCACTAACAAGTATACGGAAACTGACAAATAATTCTTATTGCCCGCTACGTGAAGAGAAATGAAGGTTGTGTGCGGTTATATAAGGTCTTTTAACCCCTTTATTATATATATATATATATATATATATATATATATATATATATATATATATATGTAATAGAATAGAGGCTATTAGAAATTTAGCGAAATGATTTAAAACCTTGACTCTGCTGAAAATAGTACGAAAATTGAGATTAAGTTTGTTTTTACAGCCTTTATAAATACAGACAGTGTGGACATAGGAATCAACAACTGAGTGACGACTGTCAGCTTCACGCTTCAGAATATATTCATAAATTCTTCTCAAGTGCTTCTAGCCGACGAACCTAGTCAAGACGAAATTATAATACTGAGTAAATGATGACTGTTGCATCTTCATTTGAATCGTACACTGCTCTCTTCTTACCTGTTCGTTGCGGATTCTTTGTGGGTATAATAGTTTTCAAAATGATAAGACCTTTTCCTACTGCTTTCGCTGTTTATGCGTACACATTCATTCTTATTATATTGTATTTATCGTTTTATTCCTCTGCGTGATTTGATGTTATCATGGATATTAGATATTGTGATTCAGCATAGTTTAAATCCCTGTCACGTTCCAGGCGACCCTACACTGATGTGAACCCACGATATGAAGAACCCCTCAAAAACGCGTAGCCGATCGTGGTGATTCCGTTAATAGTTTGAATCTTACATTGCTCTCTTCTTACCTGTTCGTTGCGGATTCTTTGTGGGTGTGGGTGTTTTCAAGACGGTAAGAAAAAAAACCTGCAGGGTAAGTAAATATACTAAAGGTGCAAAAAGACCTTATATAACCGCATACATTCTTGGGTTCGACTGTCAGGTCTTTCCAAAGGGCCATAAGTCTTATTGCCCGCTACCTGAAGAGACTTGACGGTCGAAACCAAAGTTGTGTGCGGTTATATAAGGTCTTTTCACCCCCTTATGTTATATATATATATATATATATATATATATATATATAATAGAGAGAGAGTAGAGGTTAGTAGAAATTTCGCGATATGATTTAAAACTTTGACTTCTGAAAATAGAACGAAAATTGAGATTGAGTACATTGTTTATGTTTGCAATTAAAATTATCTACATTTTGTAAATTCCTTTTAAAATTAAAATAATCTCCAAAAACCATTAGCTTAATGAATCCCTTACTTTAAATATATTATATAACTCTTAGTATATTTCCCATATAATTATTTATTATATACAATTAAATGCGTATGTTCTCACGCGTATATATCATGTTTGTAATAGTACAAAATTACTCTTTCCATATAGTTACCATTATATTTACTCTGATAGCGATAATTTTTTAAATATAACTGATGGAGGATGGAAATTAGTAGTAAGAGAGTGTAGCGCCAATCTGTCAAATAGGAAGAGCCGCCATACATTAAAAAATTAATCTTTTACCTCGGCTTATCGACCGGCCACTGCTGTTAAGCGCTGAAATATATAGAAATAAAATTATAGTGTAAAATTATAGTAAAAAGCTTTATATATTTACGGGGGAAGAGTTGACGTTATCGGAGATTGAGTCTTTATAAATACAGACAGGGTGAACCGCATCACGAACGACGAAGTTCTCTGTGCAAAGATGGAGTGCCTAGAAACCATCATGGCTCGTTACCGACTTTGATGGGCCGGACACGTTGCCCGAATGGCAGACATCCGCCTACCCAAACAAATCCTCTTCTCGAGGCTCACATCTAAGAAGAGACCACGTGGAGCACAGCGTGAGGATCAGCTCAAAAACACCTTGCTGAGAAGAGAAATCGATCTTGTCATTTGGAAGATGGAAACCGCAGAAAGAACCAATTTGAAAAGAGCAGTTCACGAAAAGACAACATCCTTCGAAAATACCAGATGACAAATAGAAGAGACGAAGAGATAAAAAAAAAGAAGAGAAAGGAGTCCAAAGAAAAGCCAGAAGTGTTCATCCTCTGAACTCTCCTACCCTACAACGAGGTTGGTGTGAAAGGTCTCTTCAGATCCAACACAGGACTCATTTCACACAGAAGTAAATGTCGATGAGCACCCCAATAAAAGAGAAGAGTACCCAAAGAATATCTAAGTGTCCATTCCCTGAACTCTCCTCTCCTACCGTGCGGTGGCTGTAGGTCTCTTCAGATCCAACATAGGACTCATTTCACACAGAAATTTCTCAAGAGTATTTGTGCGTAAAGTGAATATAACATACCCAAAAGGAACTGGAACTCGGCTCTCCGATTAACAATCCCAAACAATTATACCACCGCACATCTAAGCTTAAAGCACCGAAGTGGTTACCCAACTAGGTACTGGCCATGCTCGATAGTGTTTAACTTCGGTGATCATACGGGAACAGGTGTTTCAGCATGATGTGGCCGTAAGCCAAGCTTGAGTTAAAATATCGGCTATTGCCAAAATATAAAAGATGGCAATTTTTGTTTATGGAACCGTGACTGCGAAATCATATGCGAAAAGCCTTCGTGAGCCGGACATAATTGTCTACGACTGTCAGCTTCACGCTACAGAATATATTTATAAATTCTTCTCAAGTGTCTCTAACCGACGAACCTAGTCAAGACGAAATTATAGTACAGAGTAAATGATGACTGTTTTGCATTTTCCTTTGAATCTTACATTGCTCTCTTCTTAACTGTTCGTTGCGCATTCATTGTTGGTGCAATAGTTTTCAAAACGGTAAGAAAAAAATAAACTGCAGGGTAAGGAAATATAATAAAGGTGTAAAAAGACCTTATATAACCGCACACATCCTTGGTTTCGACTGTCAGGTCTCCCCAAGGGGCGGGCAATAAGTCCTATTGAACTACGACTGAGTAGTGAGTTCAATCCTCACTGGGTGCCTCATACTTTCGGCCTTCTGCCACATCTAAGCTACGTTTGGAAGATCTCTGTGGGCAGCTCGAGGCAGTGTAATGGTTAGCAAGTTTGTCTCGTTTGAACATTTACTACTGAGTAGTGAGTTCGATCCTCACTGGATGCTCCCTACTTTCGGCTTTGTGTCACATCTAAGCTACGCTTGGAAAATCACTATTGCGATTCCAGTTTTATTCTTATATGTGTTTATGTGATGAAATAGTGTCTGTAATTGATTTTGGATGTGTGTGTGTTTATATTTTAATAATGTTTTTCTCCCATTTGGATGAAATAATTAAGCTTGAAATTCTTCTAGACATTCATTTTTTTACCTTTACTTTTAATGTTGCATAAATGAATTTCAATTTGTTTTTTGTTTTTTTTTTTTGGTTAACGCCCTCAGTTTACTTTTTGCATTACTTTAATATCAGTCTTTAATTTTTCTTTAAATAATTTAAATTCGGAAATGGCTGGTTGGAGAAAGTCCCCTGCATTAGCTTTAGTCAATTGGTCACATGGCCAAGTAAATAATGTTGAACATCGTGTGTCCTTTTCTGACATCATCATTTGCTCGTGGGCCGGTTTTTTATGCAAGACGATACCCTTTACCAGACTGTACAGAATTCGGTGACATAGTAATGCTGAGTTCAATCCCTGGGCTGAGCAGTGTGTACTTTTGGGAACCGAACGAGAAATAACTGACCAGAATTAAATAAGGACCAAACGAGTTTAACAGAATGAAAACAACCTATCCCTCTTAGATTAAGTTCACTAACGGTTACCCGGAACAACACGCACCAATAATATTTGCCTATTACCGCAGACAATTCTAGTTAGTCATTAAATCACCTGTGGTCAGTCACTGCGTTCTCTACAGTAGACAGTCAGTTATGTGCCATGCGTGAAACACGCTTAGGCGATCATGTATCTTTTGATACATAACTGACGAGGCATGTTTTTCCCGCAGTAGGTTGCCATTTCTTTCTGCGGTAGATCAGTTGCCATCCCAAACTACAGAACCCAGTCTGTCCTGCTATTTACCCTATAGCTGGGGGATGAGAAGATGATTCATACCTTTCCTAAGAGTATAAGCATGTAAGTGAATGTAATGGATTTGAATGCAATTCCGAATTCCAATATTTGATTGGAATTACATTCGCTTACGTGCTAATACCCTTGGGAAAGCTATAAATCCTCTTGTTCTTGCTACTATCTTTAATTTCTGTTCTTTTGAGATGTTTCTATGAAATAAGCTTTAGAGTTGGAGAGGATTCATTCCTTTCCTAAGGGTATTAGCACCTAAGTGAATGTAATGGATTTGACTGGAGTTCGAACTCGGCTCCCTGATTCCTCAATCCGAGTCGCTATCCATTACTCCATCGTACCTCCGCTACAGTAATACCTAAAATCAGATCGTACATACGTGACACAGGATATTGTAGGATGTCAAATGTCTTCGAAATGAAATAACCTATCCGTTTGGCGTTCACTACACCGTCTGAACCTTGGTAATTCATTCCGCCTTGCCAAAAAGATATTCACATTAACTCACCAAATGTCAGCAGACAATTGATATTTATTGGGACATTTCGAAGACATCAAGATACTGTCTTATAATTTTCGGTACCTTTGTATATATTCTTTTTGTTTTACTTACTGCACGTTTTCCCCGTTCATCATGTATTCTTTCTGAATACTCGATATTGTCTATTATCTTACATACCAACATACAAACACATCCTACTAATGGCGTCCTGGTTATGCATCCGCGTCATGAGTAAGACGATAAATTACGTCCAACAGCAAGGCCACTAATCAGGAGGTTTTCAGGAGCGTGGAACCACCTCTTAATTGCTAATGTTCCCAGGTCCACCCTGACCCTGGGTGGTAGCACCTGTTAGGGTCCCAGTTATGGGCAAATAAATAGTTGACTCCACAACTTGACTCAAAACACTATGAAAGTGTAAAAATAGATTTTAATACCAGAAATACTTTGTAAAAAAAATTAGTATCAGCAATAAATATTTGAAAAAAGAAACTATTACCAGAAATAAAAATCTTGTCAGCATTAAATAACCCACAAAACAAACCAAACTATACATTTTTGAAAAAAAATATTACCAGCTAGATATTTCTGAGGTTGATATGCCGTAAAACAAAACAAACCAAACCAAATCAAACCCTCTACCCATGTTTAACAGGTTAAATCAGTGCAGGCTATTAGATGTGTAACTAACTATGCTATTGTTATCCCAAAAACTGTACAACGATGTTTACCAAACTATATTCCCAGTAACTAGTTCAATTGATTCAGACTAACTTAAATTTAGCAAAAATGTTCTTTTGACTGAGGTGAGGATTAGGGTTATCAGCGCGGAAGATGAATTCAACTTACCGAATTGAAATCTCGCTCATCTCCTTTACAAAAGGCATTAATTCCCTTTCCTTCAGCTATTGGTGAATAACAAAACATACCGGGTTTGGGGTGATAAACAGTCTATGAAAATTAAAAGTCTGGTCTGAAGAGGGATCGGCTCCGTCAGGATATCATTCCCAAGAGAAACCACTGCTACAGTACATGGGTTACGGGTCACGAAATCTTTGCTCTTGGCACCTGTTCTCAGGTGATGGGTGTTATCGAAGATGACAATTACCTTTCAATATATTAAACAATACACGGACAAGACAATAATGATAGTCTATTTTTGTTGTATGGGAGATTTCCAAGCAACGACAAACTCGTGTATACGAGACGCGGAAGCGAAACTCATCTTTGATAATGGCTTCTGTAAGCCGAAAGCTTAGATAGGATTAAAAAAAAACATGTATCAATATGGTGATTTTCTTTCATCTTTCAATGATAATGGTATTAAGCTTATCAGACAATATGAAAGGAATTTACTTAAAATAAATAGACAAACCTTGTCGATATTATTTAATGAAACATGCATCAATATAGATATTTTAACCCCCACCCCCAGTTATATCTTCTAATGAGACGATGTGCCGTCAGAAAACTCAGCTTAATGTGTGTACATATATAAATGGTGGTACTCGTTTGGAAAAACCTCGGATAGTTCAACTTGCAGTAAAACAAATCGGTACCCGAGGAAAAGTAGGAAATAAAAAAAGAAAGAACCAAGAACATTAAAACAAGGTGAAAACAATTGTCGAGTGTTTAAGCTCCAAGAAAAAAAAAACGAGTAAAAAGACAACTACGTAAAGTGCTCAATACACTAAGTAGAGCAAAATCTAAGATAATCCTAAGGAGCCAGGCAAACCTACCTAGGTTTCACCTAATCGGATCTTCAGGGTAGAGCCGGCTAAAGAGGAAAATTACGGAACAGTATTTATTGATAAAACCAAATATAATCATAACCACGTGACAAAAAAAAATAGGGTAAACAACAAGGGGTATGCTAATTTATTGATCAGCCACCGACGAAAACAAAAAACTATTTTAATAACCAGCTTTTGCTACGCCTACACCTACTAAGAATTTCCGATTTTTGGCATAATAAATTCATAGGTTCTTTATGCGTAGCAATAGCTAGTTTTTCCTGACTCATTAGGATTATTTTGTGTATATATATAAATATATATATATATATATTTATATATATATATATATATATATATATATATATATATATATATATATATATATATAAAGAGAGAGAGAGATATATTAAAAGCTAGAATTTAAAATACTAATTTACTGGTGCGTCATATTTTTTTCTGTTTCTCATTTCCATTCTTATGATCTACTTTCATACTCAGCTAACATTTCTAAATAACGGTTTATTATATTGGATAGAACTCATCAAATCCCTTTTTGTCGAAATACAGCAAGAGTAGATCCTCAAGAAAAAAAAAGTTATGATGGCGCTTTCAGTGAAAAGCATTCGTTGCAAATTGATGAAAAGTTTCGCATCTGCGCTTTTCCATTCATAAACAGCCGACACTTATGTACGCTAATGGTGGTATGCGAACTTCGCATACTTTATCTGCTCATAATCACTGTCAAGCCTGCACATGCGTAGAAGATTCCACGCTCAAATGCCAGTAATTTCGCACCAATTGTCAAATTGTTGACATGAGTTCGTTTCTGGCGCCAATGAACGCAGCATGACGATTCCAAGATCTGGCAGACACCGTCACCAAAATGGACGATGGAACCACTTCACGCTGATTTGACTTGCCGCGATAATTCTATGTGAAAGGAGTTCGCGAACCCATTTCACAGCTGAAAATTTAGGCGGGAAAAAATTATGTAAGAGTAAGAAAACGATTTGAAGTGTAAAGGGATGAGACGGATAAGCAGGAGGAGAGAAAACGAAGAGAGCTCTGAGATTACAGGAAGAGAAAGATAGGAAGAGATTTGAGAGAGAGGAGAAAAAAGAAGTAGAAAAATTGAATAAAAGAATAAGAGAGAAAAGAGAGCGAAAAAGGAAAGATTTTAAATCAGAGAAAGAAAAGCCGAAAACGAAGAAGAAAAAGTAACTTGTAA